TATCAGAGATGGCTTTACATTCTCTGGGCAAGAAGATACAGGTAAAATTGCCTTCGGATCCATGGAAAGGACAGGGAATGTGTAAACTTGACCTTAGCCTGTCTTTATTGGCTTGCAACTGGCAGGTACATGGCGATACCAAGTAACAGGGCAGATGACAAGGATGTTATTATAGGTTGGAAAATAAAGGAATGATAACAGCAGCCCTAGTAACTTATTACAGACATTAGTCATTTTTTAAGTGATTTCTGTATGCTAAAGTTGAAGAAGAATATAAGATCCATGCCTTTGAGGAACTTACATTCAGTGATGGATATTACCAGTGCACTACAATATTTATGAATCTCTTCCCCTTCCTGGACATGCAGGGTAATCACACTTCCTACTCCTTGTGAATTTTGCATGGCCATATGACTTGTTTCGGCCAATAAAATATGAGTGAAAATGACATGTATCACTCTAAATGAAAGCATTTAAGAGGCAGTGTGTAATTTTCCCCTATTGTTTTCTCACCCTTCAGAAATTATGGAAGCACAGGTTGATAAGGAGTTAACATAAGAGGGGAATAACCTAGGGTTCTGGGCTATGACACAGAGGGTAGCTGCCTTAGAATGGACTCTGCATAGGCAGAAACAAACTTTTGTTGTTTTAAGCCATGAAGTTTTTGGTATCATTTGTTATTGCATCATAATCTAACCTATGCTGACTCATACACATTCCAAAGAGAAAGTATGGCACAGTGCAAAGGTATATATGTTTTAGATAGAAGGAGCTGGACGTTTTATCCCAGCTAAACTACTTATCACTGGTTGACCTTGAATATATTACAGATGCTGCTCAACTTATGATGGGGTTACATCATAATAAACCCATCAGAAGTCAAAAATATCATAAATTGAAATGCATTTAATATACCTTCTCTAACAAATATCATAAGTTGGCCTAGCCTACCTTATATGAACACTTACATTAGCCTACATAAAGTCTATGGTGAAGTATTGAATATCTCATGTAGTTTATTTAATACACTGTAGAGCACAGTATTGGTTGTTTACCGCCATGGTTGTATGGCTGACTGGGTACTACAGCTCACTGTCACTGCCTAACACGGTGAGAAAACATCATACCACATGTGTCGTTAGCCCAGGAAAAGCTGAAAATTCAAATTTTGAATTACGGTTCCTACTAAACACATATTGTGTTCACATCATTGTAAAGTCAAAAAACCATAAGTTGAAACTTCTCTAAGTAGGGGACCATCTGTACTTTGCCTTTCTAAGCCTCAGTGTTATCCTTTTAAAATAAAATAAATAGAACTTGCTTAAGACCATTGTTTTGTGTGACAAAGTGCCTGGTTTTAGTATGTACTTGAAAAATGCTTATTTTTTTCTATTATACCTCAGAAGTGATAACACGCACTTGAAATGTTTTAAAAACAAACACAGTAACTCATGCCGCGGCCCCTGGATGGCGGCACACACTGGGCTGGGTGCTGAGGGGCTGTCAAGCACGGAAAACAGCCACCATCCTCTAGGGGTGCCAGGGGTGGAGCATGCCCTGGCTCCAGGATGTTAGGGTGAGAGGGCTATGGAATCCTGCAGGGGCATTTTTGTATTTTACAACTGTTTGATTTTTTTTCTTTCTTTTTTGCAATCTTGGATATTTTGCAAGACCAAGGCTTCAAGGCACGTGGGAGCACCCTTTTCCTACAGCCAGCAGACACAGGCACTTGGAACTCTTGCCAAGGACCGACTATTCTTGGGAACTGAAAGTTCTGTGCTGTTGTTTTTCTTTTTTTAATTTTTATACAGATATAGCCGGGCATGGTGGCGCATGCCTGTAGTCCCAGCTACTCGTGAGGCTGAAGCAGCAGGATTGCCTGAGCCCAGGAGTTTGAGGTTGCTGTGAGCTAGGCTGATGCCACGGCACTCACTCTTGCCTGGGCAACAAAGCGAGACTCTGTCTCAAAAACAATTTTTTTTATACAGATATATTTATAGAGATTCAAAGAACTTTTCCTCTCCCTTGTTGTCCTAGTCAGTTTTGCACTGCTATAAAGGAAATATCAGAGACTGGGTAATTTATAAAGAAAAGAGGTTTATTCAGCTCACAGTACTGCAGGCTGTACTAGACGCATGGCACCCGCATCTGCTCCTGGCGAGGGCTTCAATGAGCTTCCAATAAAGGGGGAAGACGAAGAGGGAGTAGGCATGTCACGTGGCAAGAGAGGCAGGAGGAAATTCCAGGCTCTTTATAAACAACCAACTCTCAAGTGAACTAATAGAGTGAGAACCCACTCATTACCACGCGCTACCACGGGGAGGGCACCAAGCCATTCATGACGGATCTGCTGGCATGACGCAAACACCTCCCACTCAGCCCCACCTCTAACACTGGAGATCAAATTTCAACATGAGACTTGGAGGGGACAAACATCCAAACTATATCACCTGTTTTCTCTGTCAACTTGAAAGGGAGTCATTTTTGTAAATGAAGGAGGGAAAGACCACAGCAACATTTTGGGAGGTTTGGGATTTTTAAATAAAGAACAAAACAGTGAATTGAGCTGGAGAAAATGTCCTGACATGAAGTCCACCTTTATCCCTCTCCCCCACCTCCACTGGCTTCCTAAGTCTCTACTGGAGACCCCTTTGAAGCTCTCCTATCATCAAGAAGATGCATTTGGTGAAGAATAAAGAAAAGGACAAAAAGCTGGAGGGAAAGAGTCACAATCCAATCATCTGGGCTCCACTCACCCCAACGTCCTGTCTCAGGACTACATGCAGAACCCCATCTGTCCAGGTCTGCTGTTGTCAGCAACCCACCAGACACAGAGTCTTGCTGATCCTGTGGGGTATGAGCCGGACCAGAGAGCCCTTCTCTCCAGCAACCATGCCCAGGAAATATTTGATTCTAGTAAACCCAAGTTCTCTAAGGTCCATGATTGGGAAAGTTTCCAAAATCATCACACCAGGCCATTAAAATTTGACAAGTACTGAGCCAAGTGCTCCCAAGATGCCTGGAGGATGGAGGGGAATGTGATCATCACCTGGACTTCATTGTAGAGTACAAGCCAGGCACATTTCCCTGCAAGATGGCATTTTTGAGGGCTGGCTTTTGAAGGGATACACAGTTTGGTTCCTATCTATCTAATAACCATATCCAAATAAGCCTTTCCATCATAAGCACTTTTCCAGAAGCAGAAACCCAGCTGACTCACATTTTAATCTGCATCCGTGTCCAAGTGTGGGTCTCCAAATGTACTTTGGCCTGAGTGTGCAGTCATCAGCATGTGCACGTTTGTGTGTGCACGTGCATGTGTGAGCACACGCTCTTTTGCACTGCCATTTTAAGAAGCTTCATCTTTTAGTTTTTAAAAAAAGTGCCATGTTTCTATTGGATTATGGAGAACTCTCATGAGTTTTCCTCCTCTCCTTTTTCTTCACTCCTCTTTCGTTGTTGTTTCATGTTAGAGTTAATTACCTTTCCATGTTCCTATCCATGGATCCACTAAGAACTTTGGATAAATAGCAGATCTCAATTTTCAAGAGTATAAGAGTTTATGTCTAATTTATAAATTACCAAAATACAAATAATATATGTAGTAATAGAACTACATTGCAGCACTATTAATTTATAGGTTGCTTTCCTCATATTTTAAGTTTTGGTGAAAATTATGTTCAAAAGGTATTTACATTTACACAGGTATCCACATTCACAAAGCCATTTTTATCTACTAGGTTTCATTTTCATTATGCCAACCTCAAATAGATAAGAATATTATTAGAACACAGACTTGTTGGCACTGTCTGTACTTAAAGGAATAACCTTATTGCACACTACAGCATGCTAAGTATTACTAGTGGATATAGGATACTTTCCTTTATCTAAGTATTTTACTGTCTTTTCAAAAACAAGAATTAAACTGATACATTTTGAACATGCCACAACACACCATAGCAGGGGAAATGGGAGGCTGATGCGTCAACTTTCAGTGTAAGAGCCAAATGACATGTTTCAGAATAGCTTTTGACATTGAAACAACATTCTAATTGATTGTTTCAGTATTCATCTTGACATTCAGAACACTGTGATTATTTGACTCACTTTTTTTCCACTTTTGTAATGTGTATATTTTATACATTATGGGGAAAAAAAACTTTGCTAGTCACTTTATGAATTAATGATTCTGGGACTAATGATGCTTATTGTACGTTGCTTTTTCATATATGTTCCCTTATAAAGTGGGCTTCTGAAAAATGAATGCAAAAGTCACAGGTATATATTAAAAGGTGATGATTTTGTCACAAATGGTAGTAGTTAAGGCAATCAGTCAACTTAAATTTTACTGTAGACCAAAAGTACAGATCGTTAAATTATTTAATTTAATTATACAAGGTAATTATAGAAAATTCTTTTCTATAGAAAATTCAAATATCATCACTCTGGGAGAAGCCAACGGCCATTGTGTGGAAACTTCCCAGCATCCTAGAGAGAGGCCCATGTGGTGAGGAATAGAGGCCTCCAGCCAACTGCCAACAAGGAACTGAGGCCTGTCAACTCCAGGTGAGTGAGCTTAGAAGCAGATTTCCCAGCCCCGCTGGAGGCTGGAGCCTTGAGATGACTGCAGCCCTGGTGATGGGTGAGCTCCACCGTAAAAGAGACCCTGAGGCAGAACAACCCAGCTAAGCCACTCCCGGCACTCAGAAACTCTGTAAGATAATAAATGTTTGTTGTTTTGTGATGGGGTAATTCATTATGCAACAATGGATAACTACTGTAGTTGTCAATGTTGAACAGAAAAAACACATTTAGAATTTTTTTTTTAATTTTTAATAGTTCATACCCCTCACTAACACATCAGCATGTTTTCTGCTTTAAATTAAAATTATAAGACAGTATTGAGGCTTGCTCAGATAATTCCTGTTTCTAAATACATTAGGTTCTTTCTTATTTTTCTGTTAATATTAGGACTTCAAAAAAGCTAATGTCAGTTAATGTCACGCAAAAGCACAAGATGATTTTATTCAAATAATTTTTGGATGAGGTGGTATTTTTTAGGAAAAGCATCTGTCATGAAAGTGTTTGTTTCAAAATGATGTCTTGCCAGCATGGGTCACTGCTGCAAGTTCCCTGCTGTCCTGTGCACGTTTTACATGGTGTGAGTTGATTTTAGTGCTATGTGATAGTCTAGCGGTGGAGAGATGTTTCAACTTAAAAGATGTTCTTTGTTTCACTAAACCATATAATGTCAAGAGATTCTGCTATTACTGAAAAAGAAAACCCAAATATTTAATGCTAGATTAAATACATAATTTCTTAAAATGGCACTTTCTGGTTTCCTAATTCCAGAGCTATTCGATGATCTAATGGTTTTACTATAAATCCATCAACAATCCCTCTCTAAGAGTGTCTATTGGAATCCTGGGGACCCAGACTGGCTGAATATTCTTAGGAGGTAAGAATTTTGTCTCAAGCTTCAGACTTTGGTGGACAGTGGTGGTGGGGAAGAGGAGAGCAGAATTGGTCTTTGTATTAGTTTGCTAGGGCTGCCTATGACAAAGGTCCACAGACTGGGTGATGTCAACAACAGAACTTATTTTCTCATGATTCTGGAGGCTGGAAGTCCAAGATCAAGGTGTCGGCAGCGTTGGTTTCTTCTGAGAGCTTGTCTTATTGGCTTGTAAATAGTTGTCCTTTCTGTGTCTCCGTATGGTCTCCCCTTGTGCATATCTGTGTTTCAATCTCCTCTTCATATAAGAAAACCAGTCATATTGGATTAGGGTCCTCCCTGATGACTTTATTTTACCTCTTTAAAGACCCTATCTCCAAACACAGTCACATTCTGAGGTACTGGGGGTTAGGGCTCCAACACATGAATGAGGAGGACACTCTTTAGTCCATAAGAGAATTGAAATGTATTGTTTAGGTAAATAACTAATAGAACAAACAAATAAAATCACTGATAATTTTATGCAGAATTGAATAAGAGATATATGTTATAATAAAAATAGTAATACATAAAATAGTTATATTTTATGATAGTTTTGAGGTGCTTTTTAACTGTAATTTTTATTTCTTCTGCATAAAACATTTTTTATACTCATTTGATAGAAACAGCCCAATTCCAAGAAAGATCAATGCTCAAATACAGTTTTTTAAATCTATCTTAATAGATATGATATAAAGCTTTTATTATCTGGTATATGTGTGTGTGTGTGTTTCTAAATAAAAAGAAATTAGTAATTCACTTATACCAGAAAACACTATTTGCAAAAGCCATCCATCATTTTTTTCAATTATCTCAAATAAAAGAGAGAAAATATCAATATTCTACCAACGTAATGAGTATACAATAGATATTATAACTGCTAGCATTATTCTTAGTGCTTGCTCTATGAGGTTGGATGAAGCGTTTGATGCTCGGTCCTTCTCATACAACCTCCCAAACAGAGTCACTGTTAAGACAGGTCCAGATATTGGCTTCAGGCTAAACAAGCGTCCATCACTTGACACCTAATTAAAACACAGAAAAGTAGACAAGATCTATCTTTAAGTCATACAATCCAACAACATACTTTTAAAATTCAGTATAATTGGATGAAGAAACAATAAAAAATACTGGCCAAATTTCGTTCTATCAGAAATATTTGAAATGTTGCAGAGTACACGAAAAATTAGGGCTGATTCATTTGTATACAAATTAAAATGCCTGTCATCAATATCTCATCATTTACTTACACGGGAGGAAGCATCCCATGAGTTAATAAACATAAACCAACGGATTTGGTGGTATATAAGAGAGAAATCTAGTCCTCTTAGACAAGATGAAGATTTCCCCAAATGGTCAGAAGTGACTGACTGAGGGGGGTTAGAACTGAGCAACTGTCATCCCTTGTCCCTTGCTCACCACGGTCCCCTCACCGTCCCATTGTCCTCCCCTGTCCCAGCAGTGGTTTCTACTGGGAAAAGTAGAAGTAGAGTGACAGCGGAACTTGCAGGAAAAGTTGGTGGAAGAAAGTGCTGGGCAGAGCACGTGTGCAGAGTGGGTTAGTTTCTGGACTTTAAAAAGCTTTTGCTTCTTCGTCAACACTGACCACTGTCAAATGCTCTCTCCTTCAGCTTTTCCTTCTCTCCCTTTCTCCTACACAATGAGAGGGATTTTTTTCAACTTCCTGAGGCCATACTCCCCCATGATCCTGCGGGGCTCTGGTGGGACTGGTTCTGAAACTATTCTTGTTGAATCTTCTTTCTACGCAGCAGACCTTCAACAGCCCAACCTTCTCCCTACAATCCCCCAAATAAGATATTTTTTTTAATTCTCAAGGACATAGTAATTCTTATATTGGGCTCAGTGGCTTACACCTGTAATCCTAGCACTCTGGCAGGTTGAGTTAAGAGGATTGCTTGAAGCCAGGACTTTGAGATCAGCCTGAGCAAGAGCAAAAGCAAGACCTCATCTCTACAAAAAATAGAAAAGTAGCCAGGCATGGTGGCACGTACCTGTAGTCCCACTTACTTGGGAGGCTGAGACAGGAGTAAAAGGGTGGCCTTACAAAATTAACAGGAAAATATTTAATCCTGCAATTTCCTAGTAAACGTTAAAGATCAATCCTATGAGTTCTCTCACTAACAGGCACCCCCATAGAAGTTCTGTCTTATGCAACTTCTGAAAAGAGATGTAAATGTTTTTATTTTTTTTTAATTGGTTTGAGAATTGCTTTTGTTTTTACAGAGTTCCTGAGCGAGCAGCAGGGAAACAAGCTTTAGACTTACATCTCCTGCAATAATACTGTCTCCCCGGAAAGGTGGGGAAGCCAACTCTTGGACTTTGATATCCTGCCACCCAGAAGAAAGAAAGGAGCAGATGCAGCAGTTTCTCACAGCCACTTCTGTTATCACCTGACAGCAATCACGATTTCTTTCCTTTCTCTTTGTCTCCATAAAATCAACAAGTCACTTGGGTTCAGCGCTGGCCCCCCTTTCTCTTTCTTTGGGATGCCACGCCATCCCCCTGCTCTCCCTCTCTTTCCTTCTCTCTCACTCTGTCTCATAAGAAGATGAAATAAACTTTTTTTTACATATATATCTCTCCTAGTCTGTGCATGAGAAATCTTTCTCCCCTGCACCTCAAGCACCTACTAAGCTCTCCACCCTAACGAGGAGGATCGTTTGAGCCCAGGAGTTTGAGGTCGCAGTGAGCTATGACGATGCCACTGCACTCTAGCCTGAGTGACAGAGACCCTTTAAAAAAAAATGAATTTTCAAACAAGAAATTCAGCCTGTTCAGTGTCCTTCCAGATTCCCAAGGGTAAATCATACTCTTTCCAAATGGGAAGTTTTATATTTGTACTTGGGTAAGTTTTGACATTAAAACGTGCTTTCTCTTACATAAAATTAATTGACTACATCAAGCAAAGATTCTTACCTGAAATTCTCCAGGTGCAAGCTGTATCTCACTCAACAATACCTCAGGGAAGACATACTGAGTTCCGAAAGTGCCACTGAGGGAGAACATTTCAAACCGGGTAGAAGCCGTTTCAACTGAGTCACCACAAGTGTTTAAGTCAGTCGTTTTACACTTCACCAAAGTACAAATCTAGGGAAGTAATGCAAATCAATAAGCCATAAGAAAGTCATGCTGGATCTGCTAATTAAAGTGATTTAATCATTTCACAATGTATACATATAGCAAAACATCAGATTGCACATTGTAAATATATACAATTTTTATTTGTTAAGGACACCCAAATAAAGCTGGGAGAAAAGTTTTTAAATAAAATAATATAATTTATTAAATAAAATACTAGATGCTCTCAAAAAAAAAAAAGTCCTAAGACAGTCAATTAAAATACTCTCCTGACCTACAAAAATGCTTATGCCTGTTTGTTTGGTAAAACAATATTACTTCTTCCTTAGATTCATCCATTTTATTGCTGAAAAATAAATATAACTAGTAATAAAACAAAGACCCCAGTGTTTCTTGCAATTCACTGTCAAACAGATTAACCACATAAAAAGACAATCCATCAGATCCTTGGCCTATCGCCATGAACAACTAAACCCTCAGTATTTCTCAAGGTAGCAATGCTTTTAGTTATCAGAAGTGTTCAATTTTTTTAAAGGTTTAATTTATATAGGGATGTGATCTCTATTTTATTGGTTATTTCACCCAATGAAAGAACGTGAGAGTTGTAATGAGCCCTAAAGTTCACCTAGAGGCAACCACTGTGATCTGCAAAAGTCATGTCTTTTCTATCTGAACAAAGACTGAAATGGTTCTCCATGAAGTTTTCTTCTACTATACTACATAGCTATTTGAATATAACATCTAAGTATATGAGTCATCTCACCATGTAGATGGAAAATTCCCAAAAGGAGCTCCATATTCATTTAACTCCAAGCCTGTAATCCTAGTACTCTGGGAGGCTGAGCCAGGAGGATCGTTCAAGGTCAGGAGTTTGAGGTTGCAGTGAGCTATGATGATGCCACTGCACTCTATTCAGAGAGAGACTCTGTCTCAAGAAAGAAAAAAAATCTTTTTTTCCTTTTTACCTCCCTCCCCCAAAATGGTCCCTTTTAAACACTTCTTTTAATCTTTCCCCTTTGAGAATTGCATATTGGAAGCTGAGAGGAGTTTGTCTCAACCTATCCCATTTTCTCTTTTATCTTCCACTGTGACTCTTCTTTCAAACTATGCCTTGCTCTTGCTAACCCTTACTGGTTCTCCAGGTCAGTCACAGACCCTGCACCCCTTTACACCAGTCTTTCAAACCCTGCCAAGAAGAAGAGATGGGTTTAATGGGGTGTGAGGAACTATGCTTAGATCTGTTCTTTTCTACTTATTCTCATTATAATCTATGATGTTCTTGTCTCCTTTTTCAGATCTCTTGTTATTTGACTACTAACCAGATTTCTCTCTTTCCACAGCCACCAACTCCGCTTTTAATGTGTGAAACTTCTAGGGAAGTTCCAGACAGGGGGAATGAAGGAGCTCAGGAAATTTCATCCCAAAATAGTACTCCTTTGTATAAACGGTATTTTGAATTAAAGGTCCTTAGAGATCAACAGACCCTTGGAAGGGGCTTTCTCTCTATCTGCATAACCAGACGGACCCATCAAAAGAAAAATGGACTTCCCCTTCCCTCCCTGTTATCTCCCTATATTGTGGGAAAGAAAACAAGAATGCAACCAGATCTAGCCCAAATAATTTTAAACATAATCCCTGTCTCTCAAGGTTAATTTAATTTGCAAAAAGAATCATTTATAAGTCAATGTTTCCCCCATCCATTTATCCTTCCTAAGAATCATTTATTGTACCTAAACAGAATTACGTATCTACATTCCTCATCTCCCCCTCCTCTCTAAAAGAGGGTATAAAAATATCTGGATCTCACTAGGATATTGGGCAATCACTCTGTGATTTTCTCCATGCACATGGTAAATAAACCTCTTTCTCTTATTAATCGGCCTTAATTGTATATTGAGCTTTCAGTGAACTTTAGGGGGAAAAGGGAAGTTTTCCCTCATCCCCACAGCTCTAATTGTGCATGGTACCTTTCCTTGAAGTGTTTGTCACAACTAAAATTAAATAATAATTTCCTTTTTTTTCTGTTCAATGTCTGTCTCCCCACTAGACTTAAGCTCCATGAAAGCTGATCTGTCTTGCTCATCTTAATATCCCCAGGTTTTAGCAAATGTCTGAACATAGCAAGCATACAAATTTGGTGCATGAAAATGAATCCATATGTTATGTATGGATGAAAATAATCTGAGATTTAAAGAGACTGAGGCATTGGCCCAAGGCCAGGAGGCTACTACATGGTGAAGCAGAGATTCACCAAGGATTTTCTGATTACAGAATCCATATTTTCAACATGTTACCTCAAGCCCCTGCATTTAGTTTTTGTTTTTCAGCAGTTATTATCCCTAATTCCTTACACTGTTGGGAAATAGGTTTCTCCATTCTGAAAGACCTAGAGACTGGTGATGTGGATAACTTTCACCTTGATAAGAGGCTAGGAAAGGAGAAAGGGCGCAGCCCATAAAAGAGGTACCTAACCCAGCTGGGGGGGTGGAAGTGGTGCTGCAGGAAGTGTCAGGGCAGCCTTCTTGGTGAAGATAACACCTGAATAGTGCTCCAAAAGTTGAGTAGATGGGGCTAACCATGGATAAAGAAAGCAACCTATGCAAGTACCCACAGATTGTGCAGACGCTTGCAAACTGGAAGGGGGAAAATGTCTCAACATCACAAAGACTCAGGACATACGCAAGTAAAAGTAAAAGAAGAGAATAGGCAATGGAAAGGGACCCACAATAAGATTTTGTGAGCCTTCTATATTAAGAAATTTAATTTGTCAATTAGAAGTCAGTGAGGAATTTTAAGCAAGAGAGTGATATAATCAGAAATGGGGTTTCTTTGTGGTTTTTCTAATTATACTGTAGGGAATGGACTGGATGGAGCTGAGACTCTCAACAGGAAGCCCTGTAGGAAGATACTGCAATAATATGAGTAAGATAGGATGGGGACCACATCAAGGAAGAGAAGAGCAGAATGAAAGGAACATGGAAGCCACTGTGGGCTGTGAAAGATGTGAATCTTTGCAGCAATAAACCATTCTACTGAACAATCTCAGAGGTCAACTCCATCTGTCTACAGTACATAGTTAGTGTCAAGCTCTTTATAAAGCAAGATAGGCATTAGTGAACATATAGGGAAAATGACAAAATTTGTTCAGGCAGGAGATATCATGATATCATAGGTATTCAATTATCCATTCAAATTAACTTTAATTTGAATAATTTTTAATATTTGTACTGCAAATAAATATTTTGCCTTTTTCCAAGCAGCTTAAAATTGGACTGAAATCTAGGATTTCAAGATTTAGCAAATAAAAATATAGGCTTCCCAGTGAAAATCAGAATTTCAAATAAACAAGATTTTTAATATACATATATTCCAAAAAGTAGAACATAGTTATATGAAAAAAAAAACTTTCATTGTTTATCTGAAATTCAAATTCAACTGTCTGTATTTTATCTGGTAACTCTTCTGACACCAAAACAGTACCTGTAGATAATAGCGTCCTTCCACCGTGTGCAGTCCATCAAATGCCCCTAGGGCATAAACTTCATCTGATCTTTTCTCTGACATCTTGTAGTTCAGATGACAACAGAGATCTTTCTGACAAACTGTGTAATTCCCCATAACTCCTTTGAGCTCCACGAAGGTGTATTCATCAAAAAAGATAATGCCCTTAAATTCCTGGTTTCCAGTTGAGAGTGCTTCCACACTGCTGGCATAAGATGTCCAATTCACCACTACAGGGTGGCGTGGGTGGGAATCCAGTTGTGAGAGGAGGAGTTTTCCCTCCTTTGTCTTCATATCATAATGAAATGCTCTTGCAGAATTGGGGGCATAGATGCCACTTCCTAGAAGTGATAAGTTGAAAATGCCATTTGAAATAAGAAAGTGAAAAGGGATTTCATAGTTGTTATTGTTATTTTAAGCTCATTAACATTTTACTCTCTCTAGACTATATACTTTATTAATTTCAGTAAAATATGCTGATAAAGACAGAGGGGTGAGAAGAAATCCAATGAAGTATGACATCAAGATGGCAAGAAGGGAGAGTTTTATGTAAGAAGTGGTAAATTTGGTGGGGGGGAGTACATTCAAGTTGAATAAAACTAAATCTACACAACAGTTTAGATTGAGTTTGATTTTATAGCATGTCACTGCTAGATGGTCAAAAATTAAGAGTTGGAAGACATTGTATTAAGGGGTATGTGTTAGCTAGAAAAACATGATTTCTTTTTTTTTTCCACTTTTCCATTTACATGATGCCTGTAAATCTTAAAGATCACACATTACCTGTCATCCTCATTGAGGGGTAATGTGTATTAGATGCAAGGAAATTGACCCCCATGCCCATAGCCCACGCTGAGTGGAATTCAATGGCTGACAAATGTGGCAAAACATTCATCCAAGCCGTTGGGAAGAGTATGGTATCCACGTAGAAGTCTTTCACCAGGGTAACAGCAGGATCATGGAAGAGTATATCGAAGCATGTAAAAATGCCAAACCTTCCAAAGGTGGTGTTGAAAGTCACAATCTCAGGCTCCTTGGGTGCATTGAATTGATTTTCAACCATGAAAAGATTTTGCTGCAATAAACAAAAGAAGAAAAAAATTATTTTAGGAAGTTAACCTGGACATTACTGTGCCTGAAAAAGGGCAAGCTCATATCTATTGAACAGTGCCAAACTTTTCTATGACCACTGTCTTCACAGGAAAAAGTTTGCTTTAGAGAATCAGAGGCCACTCCAGCTAAATGGAGCCTTTGGTTCAATCTCCACATGATTGATATGTACATAGGTATTCTTATCTATAAAGACCCTCTTGAATCTTACAAGACACTGGAGTGTCATATGCCTATTCTATTTGCCAAGTATACTTAACTATTTCCTCTAGGCAAAAAACTTTGTTTCTTTCTCCTTAAGACCAAGTCTATCTGGTAAGTTTCTTACCTTGACCTATTGCCAGGGCATGTCTTTAAAAGGACAAAGTCCAAAAGGCAAGATTGTGTTTTAATGCAGGTAGCTCCTTCTGGCTCTCAGACACTTCCAACAACATACTCCTATGTTCCTAAATGCACAGGGAATTCATTGAGCCTCTTTATAGGAACTTTCCACACCTAATCATTAATTTCTATGCTTTGCCTCTACTCTACTTCTAAAATAGTCTTCTTATTATCAATACCAATTTTTTTCCTTCTTGCCCATTTTATTTCATTAAGCATTCACTAACTATAACTATAATTCATTTGAATTATTTGCAAATTAATTTTACCTTATGGTAGCGTGCCACCAGCCTACCCTGAGAATCAAATACCACATCAGTGTTGTATTGGTAACGGCCATCAGGGGGACACTGAGGGTCACTGGCATTGCATGGCTTCTTGTCCCCAATATTTGCCACAACATAGATAGAGTTGTCCTTGGCCAGGCAGCTGAGTCTTTCTTGTACTGGGGTGTGGCCAAATCTGGTATATGTTCATTGGAAGAGGAAAAAGTTTTTAAAAGCAAAGTTAACAAAGTTCTGAATGATAGTTGCCTGAACATATTATTTGATATACACAAAAGTAAATTCTAAATAACAGTAGGAAGAAGAGAAGGATTAAGACAAGAAGGAAGTTTAGAGGAAACCCATATTTGTGAGAATTTGGTTGTAGGAAGCTAGGATAACACTCTAGCTCATGTATTTGTTTCTTCATAGCATTTATCATAATCTATTATCATATTTTCACTTATGTGTACATCTTATAATGTCTACTGCATCTTGTAGATACTATCGTGCAAATATCTACATATCTTGTTCACTGAACCCATGCCTAACAGAAAAGAGGCATTAAAAAAATATTTTGAATGAGTGAACAAAAACTTGGAGGAGGATCCTGGGAAGATTGCAGAGTAGGAAGCACCAAGAATTTGTCTCCCCACTTTAGCAACAGTTGCACTGGCAGAATCTGTCCCATGTAACATTTTTAGAGTTCCGGACTCTATTCAAAGGCTCTTAACTTCTAGGGAAAGGCTTGGAAGGTGAACTGCAGTTAATTTCAGGCAATTTCAGCTCTTAGCTCAGCAATAACTATCCATTCCATGGCCCTGTGATGAGCAGCCATGTATGTGTTCCTAGAGTAGGTTGTAGGCAGCTTATGGATGCGTGGTGGGCAATAAAAATGCTGTCTTCCGATCTCAGGGATCTGTGTTCTGGTCACTGATTATTGCTTCTGATCATAGAGGTGCAAACACAGAGGCAGGCAGCCACATACACACATACCCATACACACACCATTGTTGCAAGCCTCCCTCTGTGTGAAGTGACATCCAGGAGATTTAAAGGGCCAGTGCCTTCTTTTTTTCACTTTATTTTTTTTCTTTTTCCCCTATGGGGAGCCAGACATTTAAGGACCAAGATATATAAAAACAATAAAATACATAGGAGAATTTCAAAAGTCACTACACATGCACAGGGAAAGGTGTAGTCCAGAAAAGAGCTGAGAAGATCTTAAGTTTATACTTCAAGCTGATACCCAACATAGGAACATTGTATAGCAATCAAAAAAAAAAAAAGAAAGAAAGAAAGAAAGAAAGCAAACAAACAAACATAGCAAACCCTGGGGGAGGGGAATCTGATTTCCAGAGTTACCACATGAAAAGATTCAAATATCCAGTTATCAACAAAAAAATTACAGGTTATACAAAGAAACAGGAAAGTATGGCCCACTTAAAGGAAAAAGATAAACCAATAGAAACCATCACTGAGGAAGACCAGATGGCAGACCTAGTAGACACAGACTTTAAAACAACAATTTTAAAGATACTCAAGAAAATAAAAGAAGATGTGAATAAAGTCAAGAAACTAATGAATAAACAAAGAGGAAATATTAACAAAGAGATAGAAAATCTAAAAGAAACCAAAAGGAAATTCTGGATCTTAAAATTACAATAACCAAAATGAGAATTTCACTGTTAGAATTTAAAGGCAGATTTGAGAAGGCAGAAGAAAGAATCAGTGAACTTGAAGATAGGACAATTAAAATTATTGAGTCTGGGGAAAAATGTGAAAAAAAATGCTGAAGAAAAGTGAACAGAGCCTTAGGGACCTGTGAGACACCATCAAATGAACCAACACATACATTGTGGGAGTCTCAGAAAGAAAAACGCAGTTATTTGAAGAAATAATGGGTGAAAACTTCCCAAATTTGAAGACAGACATGAATAAATATAAAGATCTAAGAGCCTCAGCAAACTCCAATAGAATGAACTCAAAGAGACTCACACTAAGACACATTATAATTAAACTGTAGAAAGCCAAAGACAAAAATGAGAATCTTGAAAGCAGCAGGAGAGAAGTGACTCATAACATACGAGGGTTGTCCAATGATATTATCAGCAGATTTTTCATCAGAAACTTTGGAAACCAGAAAGCATTAGGCTGATACATTTAAAATGCTGGAGGAAAAAAAAAAACTGTCAACCAAGAATCTCATATCCAGCAGAATTGTCCTTAATAAGTGAGGGTAAAATTAAGGATTTCCAAATGTTTTAAAAAACTGACGTAATTTGTTACCACTATACCACCAAGAGCAAGAAATGCCCACGGGAGTACTGCAGGATGAATGAAAGGACACTAGATAGTAACTCAAATCTGTATGAAGAAATAAACATCACAATAAAAGTAAATAAATGAGCAAATATAAAAGCTAGTATTATTGTAACTTCACTTTTTGTTTTCTACATGATTTAAGAGACAAATACATCTTTAAAAATTATTAATTTAAAAGCTAGTGTTATTGTAGCTTTGGCTTATATATCGCTATTTTGTTTTCTACATAATTTAAGAGACTAATGCATAAAAAATTTGTCTGTGTTTTGAGGCACATATTGTGTAAAAATGTAAATTTTTGACATCAATAACTGAAAAGGCCTAGGAACAGAGATGTACAGGAACATAGTTTTTTGAATGTTATTGAAATTAAACTGGTAAAAAATTTAAATAAGAGTGTTATAACCTTAGAGTGTTAAATGTAATCCCCATAGTAACCAAAAAGAAAACAACTATAGAATATACACTAAAAGAAATGAGAGGGGAATTACAATGTTTCACTTCAAAAAAGTCAACTAAATACAAAAGAAGACAGTATTGCAAGAAATGAGGGACAAAAAGGTATAAGGTATATAAAAAACAAATAGCAAAATGACAGAACTAAGTCCCTCCTTATCAGTAATAACTGTAAATGTAAATGGAGAGAGAATGGCAGAATTGATTTAAAAAAATATAATCCAACTATGTGCTGTCTATAAGAGACCCCCTTTAGATCCAAAGACACAAATAGGTTAAACATGAAAAAATGGTTAAAGATGTTCTATGCAAATAGTAATCAAAAGAGAGCAAGGGTACCTATACTAATTTCAGACAAAACAGACTTTAAATCCAAAAAGATTACATAAGACAAGGACATTAGATATTAATATTAATATCCAGGATATATGAAGAACTCCTAAAACTCAACAATAATAAAAAACAACCAACCTAATTCAAAATGGGTAAAAGACTTAAACAGGCATTTCTCTCAAGAAAATACATTGTACAAATGGACAAGAAGCACATGAAAAAGGGCTCAACATTACCAATCATTAAAGGTGACTCAGAGTGGGCTCCTAGATAGCATCAGGATGGGGGCTAGTCACCAGAAATACCAGACACATGATTATATGTTGGGCCTTTCAGCCAACAGACCTTGGGGAAGGAGAGGTGGGGACAATGATTGAGTTTAATCACATGGCCAATATTTAATCAATCAAGCCTACATAATGAATCCCTAATAAAAACCCTGGACACTAGGCTCTGCAGAGCTTCCTGGTTTGTGAACATGTTAATGTGCTGAGGGTGACGAGCCCTGATTTCATAGGAAGAAACATGGAAGCTCTGTGCTCCCTCCCAGATTCTTGTCCTATGTGTCTTTTCATTTGGCTGTTCCTGAGTTATATTCTTTATAATAAAGCTGTAATTGTTAAGTACAAAAAATAACAATAAAATAAATGCTTTTTCATCAGGATAGCTATCTGGGCAAGCTTTGTAGGGTTTTTTTTCCTACTTTTTAAATCTGCAAGCCAAATCACTTTGATCGTAGGTGTAGACATTCTCTGTAGCAAAGGATGCCTCTTGTACAAGGATACCTACACAGTGGGATAAGTAGTCAATGAAAAAAATGTTGGATAAGTAGTTAGGTTATTAGACATAGTTTGTCTCTCAAGAAATATGCAAGCTTTCTTCTATGAGGTAACAGAAACCTTCCAAAATTGTTCTCTTAGCCTCCCAGAAACTCTCACAACTTTACTTCAGCTCATGATCATAATGCCTGGTAACAATTATTTCCTCTATTCATATGGCTTCTAGTTTGTTTTTATAACTAAACTATCCTACTTGTAATTATATTAGATATAATAAGAAACCTCAAATCTTTCTGGAACTGTGGGACCTATAAATGATAAATAAATAAATAAAATAAAGAGACATGCTGAGCACCTGTTCCTATCATACTTAGGCTAAGGGTAATGTCAGCCAAAAAGGCTGGTGACTGTGACAAGAGAAACCAATTGATTCTGGATATGTCAAACATATTCAACAAGACATGATATCTGATAATACATGAGAGGTAAAGGAGCTTGACTCCTCTCTTTCTCTTATATCTTACATCCAATATTTCAGCAAAACCTGTCAACACTACCTTCAAACTTTATTCAGAATCTGTCCACTTCTCAATACTCAAACTTCTACCATCTTGGTTTAAAACACCATCATCTCTCTGCCTAGATTATTGCAATGACTTTTTAACTACCCCCTGCTTCTTTGTTGACCTTCCCCCCTGCAATCTATTCTCTACATAGTTGAAAGAGTGAACTTAAGTCATCTCATCACTGCTCAGAATTCTCAAGGGCTACCTTCTCATTCAAGTAACAAAGTCATTATTACGGCTTGTGAAGCCTTACGTAATCAGTTCCTCCTACCTATCTACCTCCATATCCTACTCTCCCCAGCTCCCTCACACCACTTCAACCACACTAACCTTTTTGCTGTTCCTGATAGGATAGACATGTACTCTGCCCACAGGATCTTGGAGTTTAGAATTCCCTTGGCCTAGAATGGTCTTTTCTCAGAAACTCATATGATCTACTCCCTCACTCCCTTCATGTCTTTGCAGAAAGGTCTCTGTGAAGCCCTCTGATATCCTATTAAAAATTTCAGCCCCACACTTGCCACCCTATTCACCTTTCCTACTTTATATTTCTTCATACATTTATCTCCATCTCATATCATAGATAGTAGACAGATAATAAATACCTAAAGATAGCTAATTATTAAAAAAAAAAATTTACTATCTACTCACACTAGAATATAAATTCCAAGAGGACAGGGATTTTTCATTTGTTGTGTTCACCTCGTTGCCCAGAACAGTACCTGGACATAATAGGTGCTCAAAAATGTTTGTTGAATGAACGAATAAAGGCAAGAAATGGAGATGTCATTAGTTGATGAAAAACATGAAGGGGCAACTATGCTCCTTAAAATGGAACAAATTGGACATTCTCACAGGAATATTCAGGAGACCCTTGGAAATTTGGTTCTAAGGAAAGTACATTCAGAAACAAGTCAATTCAACTCATAATGGAAAGTCATAATATAATTCTTGCCTTTTAGAAACTGAAGCTGTGGCATAGCAGATGATTAAATAAGAAATAATTATGATAGAATGAAATGAGAATAAAGTTAATGATTAAGGTAAATGATATTAAACTTTATCCAAATCAAAGTGTCTCTCTATGCAGTTACTGTAGTTAGTTTGTGTGGTTTTGAAAGCAGTTCCCAAAAAAGAATTCCTAAAATAATGTTAGCCATGTGCATTCAGAAAGAAGTTTCTTAACTAATATGATTCTCTTAGGTATGTAAGATATTTGTTTCCTTACATTAACATTAATAGTGCTACTTTCAGCACACTTTATATCTCTTTAGTCTACACCAGATTGAAACCACTTAACAGTTCTGCTGTATTACCTCTTTGGTTAACAATCAGCTTAAGCTTTAAGGATTTTACATTAACTTCATCAGCTATCTTACCAATGAGAAAACAAAATTATTAATTCCAAACTGACACATAGCTCTATTTTGCCATTTACTCACACAACTTCCAAATTACAGACCTACACAGGGAAGTATTTTTCTGTTCATTGGCAAGGAGTCAGAGACTAGAGTTTGGGTCTTACTTTCCCACTAACTACCTCTGTGACCCTAAGCAAGATATACTGTCATCTCTCTAGACTCATTCCTTCAATAGAAAGATATTCAAATTGAATGTGATGATTTCTATGCCACCATCCAGCACCAATTTCTGTGATTTCATAATTGATATTCCCTTTCCTAATAAACATATCCATAGTAGATGAAAAAATAAACTATATTGAAACACAGATATTTGATAATGGATCTATCTATGCAATAATCATCAACACAGCTTTCTCAGCTAAAACGAGTTGATGTTTACTATTGGGATTTTTCAGTCTGCTGCTTTACCTGTTAGGATTATCACAGGGGATCCAGTTTACTTGAGGGTCTGGGATATCCTCCAAGTACGGGTAGACAGATTCCCTGCTGAAGTGCCAGCCATAAATACCATCTTCTGGAGTCACGATAATATGTGCACCCTGTCAAAGATGAAGCTTAATTAAAATATTCCTCACATAAGCAGTCAAAGAGGGAGGTTGGAAGAGGAACTGAGGGATCGAGTGGCTAACAACCATTTGGGCTTTTCCCTCTCTTTCATCTTATTCCTTTGTTATCTATATTTTTATAATTTATTTTATTTTCATAAACACTTTAATTTCCTAATCCTGCCATCATCATTTCCATATAACTTTCTCATCCTTTCATAGACACTAACAGTTTTCCAAGCCACTCACGGCTCTGCCTCCCACTGCTATTGTTAACTAAATATACACCCAGCTCTTTCTAAACTCAACGCCTTTCCTGAACTTTGGTGGGTGGTTGTGCCAGATGATGTCAAGATTGATTTATAACTCAAAGTCTCTGTTTACTTTCTCCTCTGCCCCAGCCTGCCTCTGCGCCATACCCTGCAAACACGATTCTCATTCCTTGTAAAAAGAGGGGTCACACACGGTTTACCTGAACTGTGCTAAGCCTGTAGGTGCTGCCTGAGCTAACCTGGGCACCCTCTGATTGGAGAGTCACCTTCAAAGCTGCTGTGGATTTCAAGGAAATAGTTGGACTAATTATGAGAAAGAACATCAGAAGTCCTGATAACCTTTTAAATTTTAGCATACATAAAAAGATATATTGATAGACATATGTAATATGTATCCACGACTTTCATCACACTTCATATAGTCATGAAAACCACATATACGGTGTATGATTAGCTTTAAACTTAGCTCTTCATTCAACTCAAGGGCTTATTATGCATTCACATATATATTTTTCTTTGTAGTTAGAATGAAACAGGAAGAATATAATACATACTGGTAAGTAATTTGCAACTTAAGTTTAATTGTTGTCAATTTGTAAATTTACCTAAAAAAAAAAATACCTGCAAACTCTTAAGAGCACAAGCATCTATCAAAGCCACTGATATTCTAAGAATAAATAGCACCTGGTCCCTCATCCATTTATCATCCTCCAACCTCCATCTGGAGCAGAAAAGAGGAACAAAGATGTTAACTTTTCAGCCAGTTCCTCAAAACTCTGCTACTTCTTAATGATAATGAAACCATCCTTTTCTTAACTTTGCTTACTGTTAGGGAAGTGTAATATTGTCCTTGCTCTAATAATTTTGAGAGGAAAGTAGGATTTTAACTATACAACAAAGTTTCTTGGCCACCCTTATATATATATATATATATATATATATGTCATCCAAAAGTGTAACTGATCCTGACAGGGGCCCTGTCCCCCAGGACCCCCTCCTTTCTCACAGAATCCACCAGAGACCTGACAGACATGTACCTGCTCTGCTGCTGACGTGATGGCTCCTTCCAAAATATCCAGATTCTGATCCATCCATTTCAGCGCCTCCTCACGAGATACTGGTGTGAGGCTGGCATTAGGCAATAGCACCGCATGCTCGTAAACAGCTGCAATAAAAGTGTCCAGAGAGCTGGTTCTCAAGACACAGAAAACCCAAATTGCCACATAAGCCAGGAACGGAGAAGTGATCATGCTGAAGTCCAATGACTGCTGGAAACAGAGCGGCACGTCCTGATATTTACAAAGTGAAAACACGTGGTTCCCAGAACTCAGTACCTTGAAAATAAATTACAAAAATCTAATTTTAAGAAAAACTTTTGACTTCATACCATTTTTAGACAACAAGAGACCCTCCTGTATGGCAGGGATTTGTGAGAATTAAATCAGGAAATATATGCATATTAGTTTGCTAGGGGGCAGCCTAACAAAGTCCCACAAACTGGATGGTGTAAACAACAAAAATGTATTTCCTCACAATTCTGGAGTTTAGAAGTCCCAGATGAAATCAGCAGGCTTCCTCCTGAGGGCCATAAGGGCAGGCTTCTCTCTTTGACTTGCAGATGGCTGTCTTCTCCCTGTGTCTCTCCAGACGTGTTGTCCCGTGTGTGTCTCTGTACAAAGGTCCCCTTTTTATCAGGACACCAGTCATTAGATTTAGCGCCTACTCTATTCCATATGACCTTATCTTAACTAATTAGATTAAATGACCTCATTTTCAGGAAAAAAATAAGGTTACATTCTGAGGTATTGGCCATTATGACTTCCAACTGTTGGGGCTCAGAAAACAGTACCTCAAAACAAAAGCCTCAGAAACAGCCTCAGAGGCAAAAGTTTTTCTCTGACCTTCTCCTGCCCTCCAGTCTCTCAGTCTCACTCTCCCCTGAGGCTAGCCGTAGAAACTAGAATCCCTCTTCCCCAAGGTTGGTCATAGAGACCCGAGCTCCTTTTCTGAAAAGCCAGCCATAAAACCTAAAATCATTCTGTGTAAAAACTGGCCATCAAGACATTATTGAGCTACCTTGTTTGACTGTAGGTCATCAGACCCCGAGTCCACGTGCTTCCCCACACTCAGAAGGAAGGAATGCTCGCACAGACAGGCCAGAAAGAATCCAGCCAGACAGGACTTGCTGGGTTTCCTCACTCAGTTTATTTGCATTACAGCTTATCCTTTTGCCTAGTCGTATTTCTACATGGTTGTCTATACTGTATTGAATCTAAGCATAAAAATGGACAATTTCCTCTGCATATCTGGGTCTCCATTCTGAAGATGCTCGTGTATACACGTTAAATAAACTTGTATGCCTTTTCCCCTGCTAATCGATCTGCCCACATCCGTGATTTTCAGGGAAACTTTAGGGGGCCCAGGGCTTTGCTTCCTTATAACAACATAAGAATTTTTAAAGTCCATATGTTTTAGAACTTCAATGTATAGCAATATGTATAATTTGAAGAATAGATAGCTTTATAATTTCGAAATTATTTTTACTATCTTCACGTACATATTTGAGCTCCAGTTTCGTTCACTCTAGTTTCCTCAAAATTGAGACGCCAGGACAAAGAGGAACACAAAAGAATTATTCATTATCTATTGCTATATAACAAATCACCCCAAAATTCAGTGGCTTCACAAAGGAAACGCACGTTCCTCTGGTCCGGAATCCCGAAGGCAGGTTGTGGGGTGCTCTGGCTTGGAGTCTGTCTCACAAGGCTGCAACCAGGATGCCGGCAAGGTGAGGTCTCTCAAGGCTTGACGCCAAGAGGACTCACTTCCAAGCTCCACGCTCCCTCACGGGGCAGAGGGCAGGGCTCAGGACCTCATTGGCTGTTGCCCAGTGACGTGAGCTCCTAGCGATGACACCCGCCTCGCCATAGGGCAGCCCACATTATGGTCACCGCCCACATTATGGTCACCGCCCACATTATCAGAGCCAGAGAGCAAGAGAACAACCCCTCATCCCAAGATGGAAGGCACGGTTTCTGTGTAATCTGATCTGGAAGTGCCACCTCATCATTTTTATTGTATTCTGTTCATTAAAAAGCAAGTCCGTAGGTCCCGCCCACACCATGGGAGGGGATTACCCAAGGGCGTGAATGAGGCTGGGATCCTAGGGACCATCTTAGGAACTGCCTCCCACAGAGGCGACAGAAAGGGCGGTATGAAGGATGAGATCTAGCGAGCAAGAGCCAGAGAGAGGAGAGGCAAATAATATGAAATGAAATAAAAGTTTATAGATTTTAATGTGGAATAAGCAGGCAAATTTTGTTTCTATTGTGGATGAAGTATAATATTTACAGAATTAGTGTTTATGATTGTCCATTTTATTTTTAGGTATATCTGATTTCGAATGGTGTTTTTACAGTTCTGAATTGCATATGCGCATGCCTGAATTTTCACTTCAGGAACTAGAATGAATTTATAACCCAGAGGTCATGGTTGCCTGGTCCTGCTGCGTCACCAGTAAACACCAGCTCCCTCGGACTGCCTGCTGACCCTCCACAGCACCTGTGGACCCTCCAAACCCAGGCAGGTGGGGGCACTATTAATACATACTTAGCAAGGAGATGTAATTGTTACATAACAATTCATGAAAGAAAGCTCTAAAGTGAAAGTTAAAACTGGAATGAGTTACCAAGAGGTTGAAAAATTACTTCTTTGACCTTATTAGGTTAAAATTATTAAATAAGAATCTTCCATTAAGGTTTCTTTCCAGTTCAACTTGTACAAAGCTTGGCACTCTTCTAGCCCATCCTCACAAGGAAAAAGCTGAACAACTGAAAATCAACAACTTTTCTTAGATGCTTGAGAGAGCATTGAGGTCACATTACAAACTGGTACTCCCAGAATTGGAGAGACAGGCAAGTACAGAAAATAAAAGCTTACTGGGGCTGAGTCCTCTGCTGCCAGTGCAGTATCTTAAGGATTGCTTGGATGGTAGTTGGTGAATTGCCAAAGGCCCCATGGAGACAACCCTGAGTGGGCTGTTCTGTTCTCCTCGAGGGAAAGCATTTGACCAAGGCCTAACCTGCCTAGGGGGAGGAAAAGCTACAACTGTAACCCCTCTAAGCTTTGACATGGGGGAAGGGACAATCCCAGATCTAGCTACCCCTCTCTAGTTTGTTCTTGTCCCAACTAAGGGTGGAAGAAAAAACATGGAGAAGCACTTGTGAAGGTCGCAGCCCAGAGGTATAGGCTTACTGAAAGATTGAAACAGAATCACAGGACCCTGTAACCCTTCCCCTCCCCCAATATGTCACCACCACAGCAATCTGGCGTTTTGGGTCTACCTAGCGTGTACTAGACAAGTGCAAATTTTCAGATGAAATATTGCAGTTCTTGCACCATGAGACCTGGAACTGAGACACACAAACAGTCTACTACAATTTCTTAGCTGGGGCCCCTGATCCCTAAGGCGACTGCATCCCTACGGACTGCCAAGCTCCCCAAATGCAACCATTCGGCTCATACAGAGTAGAGACCAGGGGAATGGTCTCCAGCAAAACAACTTTGCATGTAGACAAAAGGCGTAATCGATGCCTCCAGACTCCTCCAACCAAACCTGCATGGAGGGAGTAGATTGCCTCTTGTGAGGAAACCGTGGCATCCCGCTGCCTAGCCTAGGGACAGGACCCACACTAGTTTGGACTTTGCTGACAGAGCAGTGATCACACCAACCCAGCCACCAGGCCCCAAAAGGAAGCAAGTCCTCAGAAGCAAGTCCTGTGCAGCTCGGGCAGAGAGAACCAGACACAGGAAAAAAGGAGGCGAGAACAAGGACTGAGTGAGGTAGGCCTTGCCTCTCCTATACCGCCTGGTAAGCTCTGAAGAGCCGTGTGCATATTGAAAGCTTGAATGACCAAAAGGACACACTTCACACACAGGCTATGTGAGAGCAACATGGCTGGTTTATTCACCCGGGTGCGGGTGAGCTGAGTCCGGAAAGAGAGTCAGCACAGAGGGGGTTTAGTGAGGGTTTTTATAAACGGGGATAGTCGGCCCCCTCCCACCTGCCTTGTTCAGTTCTTTGTTTCTGGGCCAAGCTAGCAGGTGAAGAATTACTTCCTGCTACGTGTAGCAGAGGACAGTGGACAGAACAGCTGTTTATAGTAAATTCTTGAAACAATAAACTCCTATGACCCCTGTGTCCCAGTCACATGCATCCTTCAGCTCTGGCATCATCCTTATCAGGAGAGCTAGGGAGGCATAGCCTGGGTCTCCATCAGGGACGGAGGGGAAGGAATGCTGGCTGCAGCTGCCTGTTAGATCTGCAAAGTCCGGGGACTCCCCAGACTCCTGTAGCGATTCTTTTACAAGCCTAAGTTTTGCATTAACCACATTCTGTCCTATACATATTTTTGGGGTTCCCACTTGGAACAAACCTAACATATGTGTGTGTGTATGTGTGCACATACTGTATGATACAAGACTAGAGGTCTGCCTCTACATTGCTACTAAACATACATGCCTACATATAAACATTTAGTGGCTACAACACCTGTCAATTCTCTTGTTGACATTCATCTGGTTGATAAAGTTGTTTTATGCTGTAAGAAGACATATTTTTGCCATAGGACTTAATATGACTAGTTTTACATTTTTTTGATGTGGCCTGACCTAGCTCTCTTGAGGAAAAAAATTATTTTTCTCACCAGTGAGTTATACTCTACTGTACCAGAAATTGAAGCCATAAGAGTGGCTTTGCTCTCCAAAGAAAGATTGTAGATGAAGAAGACACAACTGCGAGAGCTGAGTCTAGCAGAGCTCTTTGTGTATAGATGATGGTAAATAAAATGAGAAATGAGGTGAGGGGAGGGAAGAGACACAAGAAGTCAAAGTAAATAAAAAGCATAAGGTATTTGAAGGTACAATCCTGGGATCCGAGTGTCAGAGTCCCTGGAGAGAGAATCCAGAAAGGATGAGATGGGGAGACCATGGGCATTATCTGCCACCCGAATGTCTGCAGCTTTCTGTCTTGGGTTGAATTATATTGAATGGGAATAAACACCTGGAATGTGGTCCAGGAATGCGGCTGTCAGCATTTTTGTTAGGGTAAGAGGTGTCTCCAACTCAGTGACCCTCAACTGCTCATACATATCCCAGGGAACCCACCTGCTCTCCAGCGTGTCCCTTCCCAGAGTTAATCAGTGACCAACCCATGAAAGGACTCAGAGAGCCTAGACAATGGACCAAAGGTAACTGGGGAAAAGTTGACACAACCACCCTGTCTAAGGAGCTCCCAGCCTAGCACAGCCTGCAACAAACCCCCGAGCACTAGCAGATGGCTCAACCAGGACAGGATCTTAGGATAGAATAATTTCAGAAGGAAACAAGGTGTGGTCTAAAGGAGATAATTTACTTCTTTTTTTATTTCCATTCCAAGTATCTAATTTCCATAAAAATAGATCATAGGAGTAAAAAAGGTTATGATAAAAATATAATGGAACAATTTTAATTAGCCAGATATGGTTCATAATTACTTTAAAAGATGCCCTTGTTCTTTAACTTACTGTATATTAATTGACTGGGATCAAATACCCTCTGTATATTCTAAGTTCACCCTGTGTATTTACAAATGAAGTGTACTAGTCAAGGTTCTCCTGGGAAAGAGAAACAATAGGGGATGTATGTACATCACCTATTATATATATATATATAAAGAAGTTTATTATAAGGTATTGGCTCCCACAATTATGAAGGTTGAGAAGTCCCACAGGCTGCCACCTACAAAGTGCAGACCTAGGACAGCCAGTGGTGTAATTCAAAGGTCTGAGAGCTTGAGAGCTAATGGTGGCAATTCCAGCTCAGGTCTGAAGGCCAGAGAACCAGGAGCACCCAAAGGTAAGAGAAGATCTATGTGCAGCTCTAGAAGACAGAAGAAAATGAATTCAACCTTCCTCCGCCTTTTTGCTCCATTCAAGCCCACCTACAGTGGGAAGAGCTAGCTGCTTTGTTCAGGCCACCAATTCAAATCTAATCTCTTCCTGAAGCACCCTCACAGATACGCCCAGAAGTGATGTTTAACCAGGTATCTGATCAACCATGGCCTGGTCAAATTAATGCATGAAATTAACCATCCCATGATGGGAACATTTGCATATGTTAGATAGTGACTGCAAAAGGATTGTTCCAGAACTTCCTCCCATTTAAAAACATGTTCCACCGTACTTACCCATGCTTACATATTCTTAAACACACAAATGTAGAAGACAACTCCCAAAAATGAGGTTGTGCTATACCAAATATGTAAAATGTAAGATTTATACACACATCCATTGCTTTTTAAATCTTCTTAAGTTTATTTGTTGTTTTGGTGAGTTTATGACATCTCCTCTAAACAAACACTGAGGGCTCTCTTTTTTTTCTTCCTCTCTTTGCCAGGCTAATGCAAAAAGGGCCCTGGTAAAGGACATCATTGTAACTTCCCAGGTCCCTGCCCTAA